CAGTCATCAAGACAGTATGGTACTGGCACAAAGACAGAAATATAGATCAATGGAACAAAATAGAAATCCCAGAGATAAATCCACGCATCTATGGACACCTTATCTTTGACAAAGGAGGCAAGAATATATGAGGGAGAAAAGACAGTCTCTTTAACAAGTGGTGCTGGGAAAACTGGTCAACCACTTGTAAAAGAATGAAACTAGAACACTTTCTAACACCATACACAATAAACTCAAAATGGATTAAAGATCTAAATTTAAGACCAGAAACTATAAAGCTCCTAGGGGAAAACATAGGCAAAACACTCTCCAACATAAACCACAGCAGGATCCTCTATGACCCACCTCCCAGAGTAATGGAAATAAGAGCAAAAATAAATGAATGGGACCTAATTAAACTTAAAAGCTTTTGCACAATGAAGGAAACTATAAGCTAAGTAAAAAGACAGCCTTCAGAATGGGGGAAAATAATATCAAATGACGCAACTGACAAAGAATTAATCTCAAAAACATACAAGCAGCTCCTGCAGCTCAATTCCAGAAAAATAAAGGACCCAATAAAAAAATGGGCCAAAGAACTAAACAGACATTTCTCCAAGAAGACATACAGATGGCTAACAAACACACGAAAAGATGCTCAATATCACTCATTACCAGAGAAATGCAAATCAAAACCACTATGAGATACCATCTCATGTTGGTCTGAATGGCTGCTATCAAAAAGTCTACAAACAATAAATGCTGGAGGAGGTGTGGAGAAAAGGGAACCCTCTTACACTGTTGGTGGGAATGCAAACTAGTATAGCTACTATGGAGAATAGTGTGGAGATTCCTTAAAAAAACTGGAAATAGAACTGCCATATGATCCAGCAATACCACTGCTGGGCTTACACACTGAGGAAACCAGAACTGAAAGAGACATGTGTACCCCAAAGTTCATCGAAATGCTGTTTGCGATAGCCAGGACATGGAAGCAACCTAGATGTCCATCAGCAGACAAATGGATAAGAAAGCTGTGGTATATATACACAATGGAATATTACTCAGCTATTAAAAAAGAATGCATTTGAGTCAGTTCTAATGAAGTGGATGAAACTGAAGCCTATTATACAGAGCAAAGTAAGTCAGAAAGAAAAACACCAATATGTTAACATATATGGAATTTCAAAAGATAGTAATGATGACCCTATATGTGAGACAGCAAAAGAGACACAGATGTAAAGAACAGAGTTTTGGACTCTGTGGGAGAAGGCGAGGGTGGGATGATTTGAGAGAATAGCATTGAAACATGTATATTATCATATGTAAAATGGATCATCAGTCCACGTTTGAGGCATGAGAGAGGGTGCTCAGGGCTGGTGCACTGGGATGACCCTGAGAGATGGGATGGGGAGGGTGGTGAGAGGGGGGGTGCAGGATGGGGAACACATGTAAACCCATGGCTGATTCATGTCAATGTATGGCAAAAACCACTACAATTGTAAGGTTATTAGCCTCCAATTAAATAAATTAAAAAAATTAAATTTTCATAAAAAAAAATAAAAGAATCCACCTGCAATGCAGGAGACCCTGGTTCAATTCCTCCTGGTTGAGAAGATCTGCTGGAGTAGGGATAGGCTACCCACTCCAGTAATCTTGGGCTTCCCTTGTGGCTCAGCTGGTAAAGAATCCACCAGCAATGTGGAAGACCTGGGTTTGATCTCTGGGTTGGGAAGATCCCCTGGAGAAGGAAAAGGCTATCTACTTCAGTATTCTGGCCTGAAGAATTCCATGGACTGTATAGTCCATGGGGTCACAAAGAGTTGGACACGACTGAGCAACTTTCACTTTCATTGCATGTTAGGCACCATGTTAGGTACACAATACCTCCCCCAAACCAGTCAAAGGCTGATCTAGTACTATTTAGTACTACTTCCTATCATAGCACTGAAATAATAACTCATAACCACTTATCTTATAAAGAATATTCAAGTCTCTTCTACATTTCACTTAGTCATCACATCAAGGCTTTTACAACCCTCTTTATAATAGCTTCAGCCATAATGTGTATTTTTTGCTTCTTGGATTAGTTATTCATTAATAGTTCTATTACAAATGTACTATTTTATAATTCCCTAACACTTAGCAATATTTCTTCTTTTAGTGTGGTAGATTGTTTGATCTTGAATTCTTAGTCCTATGTCTCAATGCAAGGGTTGCTCTTATAAAGGGGTGATACCCCTTTGCTTACTTTTTGGAAGGCGATTAAGATATATGTGTATATATATGTGTGTGTGTGTGTGTGTGTGTGCGTATATATATATAAAGATACAGAGATGAATCCAAGTTAAAAAAAACTTGAGAAACAGTGAGTTTTGAGATTATTTTTGGTAGCCTCTTGAACATATTTTATCAACCATCTAGTATAATATTATCAACATATTAGAATATGAAATATCCATACTAATCATATAAATATTGAATATTATTCTTTCATCTTTCTTTTTTAAAAATAAGTAAAGCTCTTTAATGTATATTTAATGTAATAACAGATATAAAATGGCTTGTCTTGATGAATTTATAAACTTATTTAAATCATAACACTCTAGACTAGGTCCTATGAGGTTACAGCTTTACCTACTAAGTTAAAAACAAGAGTCTTAAACAGAGATTCTCTAACTTTCTTGCTTCACAAAACCTTTACTGTCAGAATTACTTTTTATTGCACACTAAAAGAAATACATAAAACCTTTGCTTATTACATAGATAAGTCCAAGTGACATAATAGACACATTTGTTCTAATTGCCTAGTAACTTTTGGACATTGCAGAACTTCTCAAACTTTGGAATCAGATTGGACACGGTCATTATCACTTTGTATTCCACATTAATTTTTGCATGTAACATATTTTCACAGAAATCAATGGAAAGTGGTTTTTTTAAAATGCCATCAAAAGAAAAGTAGTGATCTAATGTTGAAATTGTGAACTACCTCAAGGTAGTATAGTTCACAGTTCCCAACAGGTACAGATGGTACTTGGAATCAGATTTTCATTCTGTGTGGAAAGTTGACCAAGTTATTTAGCTTATTGAGCTTTACTTTCTTCACCTGCAAAATAGCGTTATCAAAACTATATACATATAAAGACTAATTAGTGGAATCCCTGGCATAATATATACTTGTTATTTGGTTACTATTATTCAAGGAGCATTTGACCCACTATCAATAGTAGGAGTTACTAAATTGTCAAAGACTTTATTTGCCCCCAGCTTTGATGACTGAGTAGTATGACAGTGGTTGTATTTGAAATAAAATTTAAATTAGTAGAAATATTTTAGAAAGCATCAGAAACCAAATTTTTAATGGGAGGACTGATAGGCTTAGATTTCAGTTTAAGCTTTGTGACTATTAGAAAAGTTACTTGACCTCCCTTTCCTGTTCTTTAAAATGGTGAAGATAGTATCATGGTGGGTATAATATTTGGAGTAATTTCCCCTTTTCTGTAAAAGTAAAAGGCACTCAACGAGTATAAGTTTCCTTTTATCCTGTCTTTCAGAGATTGTTTTCCCATTGAGACTGATTTGGTATGGCAACCCACTCCAGTACTCTTGCCTGGAAAATCCCATGGATGGAGGAGCCTGGTGGGCTACAGTCCATGGGGTCGCAAAGAGTCGGACACGACTGAGAGACTTCCCTTTAAGGGATCTTTTAGGAGACATTTTCTCTTAATCCTAATCATTGATCACTCTTATCTGTTTACAGAAGAAAGCACTGCATTTTAGTCTTCAGCCAGATTGTAGATGATAGAATAAAACTGCCACAGAATTCTTGGAATGTAGGCTGGCTTTGCTGCCTGTTGATCTTTTTTGGTTTAGAATATAGTATAGGAACTCTAAAAAGCAGAGACATTACTTTACGAAGAAAAGTCCATATAGTCAAAGCTATGGTTTTTCCAGTAGTCATGTGTGGATGTGAGAGTTGGACTATAAAGAAAGCTGAGTACCAAAGAAGTGATGCTTTTGAACTGTGGTGTTGGAGAAGACTCTTAAGAGTCCCTTGAGGAAAACAAGGAGATCAAGCCAGTCAATCCTAAAGGAAATCAGTCCTGAATATTCATTGGAAGGACTGATGCTGAAGCTGAAACTCCAATACTTTGGCCACCTGATGCAAAGAACTGACTCATTNCATTGGAAGGACTGATGCTGAAGCTGAAACTCCAATACTTTGGCCACCTGATGCAAAGAACTGACTCATTGGAAAAGACTCTGATGCTGGGAAAGACTGAAGGCAAGAGAACGGGATGACAGAGGATGAGATGGTTGGATAGCATCACTAACTTGATGGCATAATTTGAGCAAGCTCCGGGAGTTGGTGATGGACAGGGAAATCTGGCATGCTGCAGTCCATGGGGTCACAAAGAGTCGGACACGACTGAGCGACTGAACTGAGTTGACTGATGGGAACTCTGTCTAGATTGTCATGAGGCAATTATCAGTTACTAATTACTTTTTTATATTCTCGAAGATGTTATTATTTCTCCTTGGCTATGACAACTAGGGTGCTGAAATGGAAAAAAGCTGACTTCAAACAACTTATTTTAAAAGTAGGTACTTACTAATAGGTTTATTTATCTTAATTCAATTTGAATTTTCCCTTAAAACAGATTTATGTGTTTATGAATGGGACATGATTCTCTAGATTCCTCCAGATGAATACCTTTGATTCTTAGAAATCAGGTTACTTAATTTTTTCAATCTGAATTTCTGAGTTAATCCTTCCTGCTTGACATAAATCTCTCTTATCCTAATTTAAGTTTTTAAAACTCATGTTCTATCTTTGCACTTGTAAAGCAGCTCCTAAGTCTTTTTGGTATAATATCAGCAATGACTATATAGACAATCCAATTGGTGAAAAGGTATTGACAGAATGTTCCTTTAGTCAGATGTTCCTCTCTCCCTTATTAACACTGTGGCTATTTTCACAAAGCACAGAGCTCAAAGTAGGATCTTCCAACTGGAGAAGCAGGCACAAAGAACTGCCAGACTTTCCTGTGGAAAAGGAATAGGAAGAAGGCAGGGGCTGACTGGCAGGTGTGGGAAGTGACAGTATTAGGAATTCTCTTACATTTAGAGACTTAAATAAGCACAAAACTTGGTAATTATTCAGCAATTTATTTTCTGCATTTTAAAAATAAATGTATGAATAGCTTTCTTTGTGGAATTAAGTTCATGTGCCATATCTAGAGACAAAATCCAGCAGATTGATGTTTATCTACAGTCACATATTCCATGTTATTTTATGGCATTTTTCTTTTCTTTTTATTTTTTGAGATATTTTTGAGATAGGAATTACTCCCAAAGAAATAATGATTACATTAAAAAGCCACACATGGGAAATGATGGAAAAGGCCAGTAGTTATGCTTAGATGAGCTCTGTAAGATTTTACTTTATAATTTCTGCTTTTTTGCAATTTTAGATTTTCTTTGAAAAGTATATTTTAATGAGTACTTATAATCTTAAAAAATGAGTTTGCATTTTATCTAAATAAAGAAATCAAATGGATGCATCAAGTACCCTAGTCAGTCTGTTCCTTCAAGCTGTTTTTACTTAGTCAAACAGGATTAAGATATAGAATAAAAATTTTTGTCAATCTGCATTTTTTTTGCAACATATATCTCAGAAAAGAATAATTTTAAAAACAAAAGTGCTTAAATATATTCATATCTGTGTGTCAATGACAGTATTTTCTCTTTTTTCACTTTTTCTTCAGTCAGGTGCACTGTGCTTAAACGTAATTAAGCAGAAAAGGCAACAAAGTATAACCCCCCCACACATTATTATCCCCATAATCTTATTTTAAACAGCAATTATGTTTGTAAATATTTTATGCTATTTTTTCAAAAAAATTACAGTCACTACTATATGTAATTGCTTTGATGTTATGTAAGTTTCTAATAGATAACATAATCTCTGAGAACTTATTTGGTTGAGAGCCCTCAGTGAGTTAGAGACAGGCTGCCTAACTGTGGAATCAGAAAAAGTAATAATTGCCTATACTAAATGGAAATATTAAAGTTTAAACCATGAGAATCTTTGAACAATAATACATATGTGCATACAATTACAATGATTGTCTTAGATCAAAGTCCCTGGTTTGAGAAGAAGTTTGATTTGACATTTAGTAACTAAGTCTTTTTCCAAGATGCTGCCTTGACACAGCAAAGCCACATACATATCAGCTGTAGAAGATTTTGGCTTTTAAATGTTAAAAAGTAATAGGAGCAGATAGATGCCTAAAATATACTTTTATAATAGGAATGAAAAGCAGTTTAATAAATCCACATTCATTTTCTATTTGATTGTAAATATATAAAGAGTTTTTAGTTATGATGTACCTGTCTCACAAAGTACAATTATCTAAATAAGCACTTTTTAAAAAGGAATTCCTTACTCAACTCTGTGCTTTCTGTAAAATACTGCAAAACTGTGTGCATCTGCAAGTTAAAAACCCTTACAGACAGTAGGCTAAAGCTAAACAGAATTTGATTGCAGACCTGACTATGTTTTTCTGTGTTTTGTCACCAGAAACGTGTCATGCTAGAATGTGCTCAGGATTTTTTGAACAGTCCATGAAAAGTGACAGGGATGTTAATCTCCACTTCAGCCCTGGCAACTTCACTCAAGTCCTTGGCATTCAGAATCAGAAGATAAGCAGGCTTTTGTCCTGCCCCAGGGCTCACCACCACACTCAGAACTACACCTGTTAATGAGAAGTTAATAAGGCAGTGTTGAATTAAAAAAAAAAAAAAAAAGCCCAGAGCCATAGATTAAATGTCATTGAAATACTACAGGAGACATTACACTCACAAATAAAGAAAACCAGATGACCTGATAGCGTGTTCTGACTCTTCTGCCACTTGGCTGTGTGGCAACCATGAAAGTGAAAGTGTTAGTTGCTCAGTCGTGTCTGACTCTTTGCAACCCCATGGACTGTAGGCTGCCAGGTTCCTCTGTCAGTGGAATTCTCCAAGCAAGAGTACTCTCTTGCATTGCAGGCAAATTCTTTACCGCCTGAGCCACCAGCAAAGCCCATGGCAACCAGGAGAGGGATGTTAAATTTTTCAAGTCCCCTAGACTATAAGCTCCAGGAAGGGAGTGACAGTGTCCTTCTTGCCCACCATTGTATCCCGATAGCCTACCACAATGGTTAGAACACAGTGAATATTCATTGAATTCTTATTTTATGAATGTTTCTGTGTTTTTATTTGTGTCATAAGATTTAACACCTGCTCTACTTACTGCAAAAAATGTTGTGACTTTTTAAAAAGACTTCTTAGAGACTTTGAAAACAGTAAGGTACACTATTTCTACAATTTCCAAGACCTAGCTTGGATGCTTTCCATCAAACAAAATAGGAACACACTTTTTGCAGTTTTGACTGGATGCACTGCAAATGTAAAATCACTTAGTGTAAAATGGCTCTACAACTCTTTATTCTATTCATTTCTCTGTGGTCTCTCATATTTTAATCCCAGAAAGTATAACCTACCCCGCTGTCCCAGCTTTGTAGTTGAGTGTATCTGAATTGCTGTTTTATAGACTGTTGCTCTGGATCCCCTTCTGGCCCCAGTTTACTAAAAAGAAAAACCAAAACTAGAATCTCAAAGCCTCATTCTCTTGGATCAGTTAGAATATTCAGTTTCCCTCCTTAGAACCCTATTTCTTTTCAGAAATATATCTATGTCAGGAAAGGCAAAACCTAGATAACATGCTGCTCCTTCTTCCTTCTCACCTCCATCTAGAGCAGATACTGATATTCTATTGTGACACCCGATGGTGCTCTAAGCATTTTTGCAATAGTACCTAATGAAATCTGACCATAAATAAAACTTATCTTCAAACACATTTACATTCTTTGGTGCTGTCCTATTCAATAGCAGGAAGGATTATTTCTGAACATTTGGAAATAATCAACATAAATCCTCTCCTAGTGAATTAACTATATGAACTCCAATGAGAAGAAAGGGTTCAGACACATCTATTACTCTCATTACCGTCATCTTCCTCCAAGGCATCTGGGTGAGAAACAAAGATAGGTTCTGAGGGGTATGAATCAGGCTCTTGCCATACCCAGGTTTCTTTAGTTTTGACGTTCAGCTTACAGAGCTGCTTATAAGAAAGAAAAATCAGTCAATATGCTTTACTTGACTAACATATGATTCAAAGTACTGTTCGAATATTAGGAAGAGGGATTAATTACCCTGTCTGGAACAAAGTGATTCAAGCCAAGTCCATATGCATATGTGTAAGGTTTCCCACCATACTTCCGGTAATTGATTTGAGGAAACTCAAATGCTACAAAATAAAATACATGCTTAGGAAAACTCAGTTACTTTCTTTGAGTGGAACATTTTGTTCTCTCACATGTGAAGTTTTTTCCTATACCATCTCACCTTGGCGAGGCCCTGAAAAGAGAACCTCAGGTTCCAGCCAGATGGTCTCGTCACTGCACAGAATTGCAGTGGCAGTTGTGTTGGGGAGTGTGACTAAATTCTTGCCTGTGTCAGCCTAAGAAAGAGGATAACAGAAACCTCAGTGAACAAGGAATAAAATTCAAGCAGCCGTGAGAACAGTTTCCAGGTTTAGTTTCCTGAATTCTTCATTTCTTAAGTCAACATGTAGAAGAGACAGTACAGAAAACTCTAGAAGGGAGAGCCCAAGAACACGACTGGAAAAGCTGTTCATGACCATGTCAGTCACTGACTATGTATTACTGAGAAAATCAGTGATATATGAAAAAAAAAAAAATAACCTCGTAGGCCCTTAGTCTTCTCATCTGTGAAATGTGACTGACCTCAAAGAACACATAGGGCCCTGAGGATGTGGTTCTGGAAAAAGAAGTATTTTGCTTCACAGTGACAAAGACTTCAACCTCTAGGTATTCATACAATGTTTATCTCTTTTAAAGTTAGCTATATTTTGATTTTATTGGAAAAATATCATATCCTTATGTTGTCAAAAAAGAAAACAAATGAAAAAAACTACTGGACCTGATGTTTTCTAAGATCTCTTGATACCGACATTGCCCCCACGTCATTTTTCAGATTATATTATGAAAGGAATGAATAAATATCATGAGCTCTTCAAAGAACATATGCATTTAGTTTTGCATTAAATACCTGAATACATGGCTTGTACTAGACTCTACTCTAGACATTTGTGATATTTCAGAGAACAGAGTTCCTGTTGTTATGAAGTTTACATTCTAATTTGGAAAACTATAAATATAGATAAAGTGTTTAGTATATCATGAATGTGGAGAGAAAAACAGAGCAGAGTATGGGGATCAGAAGTGTGAAGGGTAAGTGATTTATAATTTTAGTAGGTAGTCAGGGTGGGCTTCATTGATAATGTGATATTTGGGATAAAACTTGTAGGAGATGCAGGAAGCAATGTAGATATCTGGGGAAGAGCATTTAAGCAGAGAGAACAAATTGCAAAGGCGTGAGGCAGGAGTATTGTCAAGGGTGCTTGAAGAGCATTAAGGAGACCAGGTTGGCTGCTCTGACTGAGCTGGGGGGAGAACACGAGAGGAGGGTAGAGGGGTATCATGGGGCTAGACTGGGTAGAGCCTGATGGGTCACTGTGAGGACTTGGGTTTTTCCTGTGAGCAAGAGATGAGCAGAAGAGTTTGCAAGGCTAAGATTTATTTTTAAAAGAATCACTCTGGGTGTCCTGTCAAGATCCCTTTAAGAATAGGGGATATGTAGGTGTGAAATCAGGGGAATCAGTCTGTCTTATAGTAGTCTAGTCAAAAGAAGACAATGGTTCAGACTGGGCTAGTAGCACTGAAGTTAGTGAGGAATGGAAGGCAGAGCAGAGGATTTCCTGATAGATAAGATACTGGATAGGGAACAGGCATGAAATTGAGTGAGAAGTCAAGGATGGCTCCAAGGTTTTGGGCCCAAATAGTTAAAAGTTGGAGTTGTCACAATACAGATGGGGATTAATAAAGGTGGGATAAATTTTTTGGTAGGGGAAGAGGAGAAGTTTGAGTTTTGTCTTATTAAACTTGAGATGTTTACTGAACATCAAAATAAAGACTTAGCATTGGCAATAGCATACAAGAATCTTGAGTTAAAAGGAAAGTTGGAAGTGGAAGCGTAGGCTCCTTTAAGGCATGAATCTTTACGAAGGAGTTAAAGAACAAATAGAAGCAGGACAAAGGGCTGAGTCCTGGTGCCCTCCAACATTAAAGGAAAGACAGGAAAGAAGGGATAAATGAAGGGGCAAGAAGAGTCAAGAGAAGGATTTTATAAGAAGGCAAAATAACAGCATGATATGCATGAATTAATGAAAACAGGAGGAGAGTGAGATATATGACAGAGTGGGAGAGTTGTAGAATAATGTCCTGAAGTGGGTGAGGAAGGATGGGAAAGACTAGTTCTGAATAAGATGATGGATAATTCAGTCTGAGTACAGATGCTGGTGGGTGGATATATGTGGTTGCAGGAGTCTACATTCTTTTCTGATTTCTTTCATTTGTTTCAGTAAAAGAGGAAACAGAGCCATTAGTTGAGTATGAGTGTGGAGGTGGGATGTGTTAGAAGTTTGAAAGAGGAGGGTGTGAAATACTTAACTAGGAAAATGAAGTTGGGAAATGTTGCAGTAATTTTGTGGTCATATATTTAAAAAATGGGCCAATTAACACAATTGTGTATTTTTAGCATTTAATTTGAGCCTTAGAGGTACAAGCATGGAGTGGGTAGAGACTTGAATTTAACTAGGATTTGTGACTTTGACAAATAAATTCTATAAACTAAGAAAGTGGCAATAGAAATGAGGATCTACTCAAGGGGGTGATTACAATGATCATGAAAGGAGGGAAGATAAGTCTTCAGGGGAGTGAGAGATGATGAGCAGGTTCAATAGATTGGAGTTTCTGGTGGGAATTGTAATAGGGTTGGTAATCTTGAAAGGTAAGTCAGAATGTGTCCTGTATGAACCAAGGTTATGATACATGCACGGTCAAAGGTAATAGCAAGGTCAATTGTATGACTTGGGAAGTGAGTGGCTGAGTCAGAATGGAAGACAGGATCAGTGGAAGATGTCAAGGAATGAGGCCAGGCTGTTGGAAGAATCATCTATGATGTGTATACTGAAATCACTGAGAGTTGGAAGTAGATCAGGGGAGTGTGACACTGAGCCAAAAGAAGAGGGAGTGGTGATTAGTACGTGAAAACAATAATGAGGGGTTATATATATAAATGTACACATACCACTTGGGTATATAATTAGTTGAAGTGAGATTCAAAATTGAAAGATTTTAAGGTTGGGCAGAAGGAACAATGGTTTGGAAGCAGCAAAGTGGAACAAGTGTTCCAACCCCAGGCCCAGTGGTACAAGGGCTGGAGGAGAAACTGCTACCCCTGGAAACTGCTGCTGAAGAGACCAGTGTCTTAGAGAGTGTCAGATCTTTTGGTAAAAGAGATAAGATGGAAGGAACCTTCTGAGCAGAGGATAGATGGAATTTTTCTGGTGATGTACAATGAACTAAAAGGAAATAGTGAAGGATTTTCAGAACTGGGAAGAGATAGGGGGTGATGAATGGCTCTTTTAAGATTCCATGAAGTGCGACCTCAAGGCTCTTCCTGGTGATGTTGGGAAGCAGAGAGCAGCATGTATGTATAGATACATATTGATATATGACTACCTAAAGGTGGCAAAATAAAGAAAATTATATATAAAATTATATATAAAGAAAATGATATATAAAGAAATTTATAATTATATATAAATTATATATATGTCTCTCTCTCTCTCTCTCTCCATACAGAAGACCTGGAAATAACAATTGATCCAACATAGTGAGTCCTTATGATTTGTAGCATTGTATGAATTAAGAAAAAAAATTAGTTCAAATGTTGAACATTACTTATGGGACTGTAACTTTAACGATTTTACTCTGTTGTATCTTATTTTCTCTATTATTAAATTCAGGCTTTTTAATACAAGAGATATGTAACATCATCTTTGCTTTCCAAACCAGCACCTCCTTTTCACTCTCCCTCTCACTATTTTTTTTTTTTTTAAACAGATGTGTTTATCCTCTGATACAGGAAACTTACTTCTGAGAGTCTATCCTATTGCTATATCTGCATATACATAAAAGAACATACATACAAAATTATTCCTTGTGACATTATCTGTAACAGTAAAAAAATGGAAATGACTCTGTCGCTCAGCAGTGAGGGACTGCAGCATATTGGTAAAAAAGAACACTGTGTGGTTGAAGAAAGTAAGATCTTCAATATATATTTTAAAATGAAAATAAGCAAGGAACAAAAATGTGGATACAGAAAGTTACTTTTTGTGTAAAAAGTGGGAATAATAATTCTATATGTTGGTATTTTTTAATATTTGCATAAACAAGCAAATGCAAAGGAAAGACATTAAAAGTTACACATAGAAGTGAAGAGGAATGGTATGGAATGGATGCAGGTAGAGGTTGGAGTGACACTTTCAGTGCAAATCTTTTTAGATCATTTTGATTTTCTGACCATTTAAATGCACTGTCTATTCAAAAATAAGAAAGATATATTTAAAAATATCACCATTATTTCAATCGCTAAACCTGAAGCTTTAGTCATCTTATACTCTTTCCCTTCCTTAGCCCTTCCTTCAATTTGTTTATCTCTTCTTTCCCTAATTTATGATCTAGTTTTCTCTTCATTACCAAACTTTAAAAGTACAGGCTATAGTAATTGATACCACATTGTCACTGTGGCTTGAAACCTGATTTCTACCTCTCTCTGTATTCTACTGGAGGTCACTGAATCTGGTTTTTGGCTCCTTATTTCAGCTTCATTTTTTTCAGGTTGCCTATATGTAGCAGTGGACACCAATGAAACCCTCTCTTGCCTTGTCAATGTGGCATTTTCCTCTCTTAGTTGTAACTAGGACCCTTTAGTGATTTTTTTTCTTTCTTTTTCTGACTCCTCTTTTTCTACCACTTACTGCACATGGGTGTTTCCCCAACTTATGTGCTTGGCTATCTTTTCTTTCAACATTTTCTGGCTGTCAAGTTCCTCAGTTTTTAAAATCAACAAATTGGTAAGTTTCTTTTAGAATGCTTACTCCGAAGTATGAACTTTTGCTGCTAGCAATGTCTATCCTTATATATTTGATCATCATTTCAATGCCAATAACTATTAGCTCTCTTCTTCTAACCCTGCTTTGTGTCACAAGGACCTGCACTTCCACATGCAAGCCTACCTGATATCTTCATGAAGATGTTGTTGATGCTGATCTTGTAATTCTCATCAACAACAATAAGATCAGCATCAAGAACATTTTCATGAAGATATCTGGTAGGCTTGCATGTGGAAGTGCAGGTCCTTGTGACACAATGCAGGTTTAGAAGAAGAGAGCTAATAGTTATTGGCATTGAAATGATGATCAAATATATGAGGATAGACATTGCTAGCAAGAGAAGTTCATACTTCTTTGTTGTTGATGAGAATTATAATGAATATTATTTAACACTTAGTTTATGTGGGGGACTATATTCAGAGATTGATATATATCACCTCATTTATTGATCACAAAAATCCTGTATGGTGGATATAGATAAAGAAAATGAAATGAAAGTGTTACTCAGTTGTGTACAACTCTTTTGAGACCTCATGAACTGTAGCCTGTGGGGCTCCTCTGTCCATGGGATTCTCCAGGCAAGAATAATGGAGTGGGTAGCCATTTCCTTCTCCAGGGGATTTTCCCAATCCAGGGATTGAACCTGGGTCTCCTGCATTGCAGGCAGATTCTTTTACTGTCTGAACCACCAGGAAAGCCCAGATAAAGAACAGGGGATGTGAAAAGGTTAAATGTCTTGCCCCAAATGACACACGAGAAAGCTGGAAGCCCTGGTCAACCTGGCTTTGTCTTCAGCCCTTTCACTCATTATTACCCTTTCCTCCTAGTTCTACAGTTCATGTCTATCTCCAGATCTGCTCTGCCTATTGCATTTCTTATTTCCAAAGGCATCAACATTCTAGACACATAGGGTTTTGCATGTCTAAGACTTAATTCATTCTGCCATCCAATCAAATTAGGATCCTTTTAATTCTATCTGTAGGAGCGCTCACTTTTGTCTTTCTGTTGCTACTACCACTACATTTTTCTGGCACCTGAGTAATTTAAATTGTCTCCAATCTCAGGTATCTTTCTCCTTCCAATACTACTTACACATGACACAGCCTTATTTTAGAAAATCAAAACAGCAAATGACCTAGTTATTATTTAGTCCAATTTATTTAGGTTTCAGAGCGAACAACTGAACTTTGGGGTAACTTGTTCATTGAGAGACTTGCTCAGGGAAGTCGGACATTTAGCAGGAGAGACAACTAGAAGAGTCAGTACACTTGATACTCTGTCCACCCACTCTGAGTATGGCTTTCTTCTATTCAAAATCTTAATTCCCCACCATCTGTCAAATAAAATGCAAACCTTTTAGCCTAGCCTAAAAGCCTTCAAAGATTACCAATCTATTTTTTTTAAGTTATTTTTGCCCACTTATCCCACTGTTTTTGTTTATTTGTTTATGTTCTAACCAGTTGGATTGCAATCAGGTTTTTTTGTTTGTTTGTTATTTTGTTTTTTTTTTAGCAATCAGATTTAAAAAGATTTTGTAAAAAAAAGAAAAACAGGTTGAGAGTGAAAACTGGTTTTCAATTTGACTCTGTCACAACTGGATTTTGCTAAGTCATGAGCTTCAGTTTCATTTATAAAATGAGAGGAATTGAATTTGCTAATTTTTTTTTCCTTCCCTCCTCCCTCAGTCGCCATCTTCTGAATTTGCTCATTTTTAAAGTCTCTTCCAGTTCAGAAATTTTGAGCCTTTATGTATAAACACACAACAGGAGAAAAAATCCTGAGAAAGATGAAACATTCTCGTTATATCTGAAATCTATGTAGAGGGTGGTTACCTTGTCAATATTCAAAGGAAGTACGTATCTCCTAACTTCAGGCTGAGGAGCCTTTCTGGCATTTTTTTTCACCTCTTCCCAGTTCTCACGTAAATTGGCTAAATATAAATAATTATAAACAAATTCAAATCTGCAAAAATAAGAAATCAAACATGAGGACAGAAAATTACAAATAATTTTAGAGACATGATGCATGTCTTTCAAAAGGACAAGTGCCTGTCTCTTCTTTAGTCTCCAATCTAGAAACTCCTAAAGACTCAGGTATGCTGGAGCCACTTCTCCTGCCCACTCTGGGTAGAGAAAAGAGTCCTGCTTCATGGGTATGTTTAAATAACAGCAGCCTTTGAAACTTTCTGCTCTGTTTCTCTATCACCATTCTGTCTATGTCTTTAGGGGCTACTGTCTTTTTTAGTGACTTGCTGTTCTAAAGAAAGCATGTCTGTCTTTTTTTAAAAAAAAATCAAACCCAGAGTAGATGCAGTTTAAGGCTCCTCAAAGGATCTTGTTAAATTTGAGGGAAATTAAGTTTAAGTTCATTCATCAAGTCATAGAATGTTTTATTTTCAGGTCTGTTTCGTGGACCTGAGCAGTTTTCAATCATTACCCATGGTTTGGGTAAAAAAACCTGATTTCCAGGAGCAACTGGAGATGTAACATTTATCCATTCAATGTGCTCTCTTACCCTTTCCAGCAACAGAGATCCACAATCAGAAACTCATGGTCTTCATAGGTATTGATGTGATGAAAGAGGTTAAAAGGAGAGGTCCTGTATTTGTTATTGATGTACTTTTTTCTTTTTTTGTCAGCAATATGAAGCCAAACCTAGAAGTGAGAATGTTTTGATGCATTTAAAAAGAAAAAAAGTATGCATTATGAAACACATATTCTTTGGACTCATCAACCTGACAAATAAATGTAAGACTTACCCCCATGGTTTCATTGGACTCAAAACAATCCATGTAGTTGGCTCCCCAGAGACTCCATGAAGAAAGAAACTTGAACAGATTAATTTTTACTGGTGTCTCCACAAAAACAATATAGTTGGGAGTCAAACCAAAACTGTTCAGAAACAGAAATAAACTTGTGAGTGGGAAGGGTTGATGCTCAAACCACAGAGAAATATGTACACATGAGGTATGCTCAGTTATATGAATCAACAGTGCCTACATGAAATTAATTACATTTAAATTTAGGTTTCTGCAAGAAAATGTCATGATCAGGACTGGTATCAAAGGTAGGCAAAGCAGATCTTTAAACTTGAGTTTTCCTGAAGATTCATAGCAGGCCTTCGAGTTACCTATGGACGTAAGATGGCTTGAATCGGTCACTGCAGGGGAATTGTACAACGATCTCTGACTTGCTTATTGGATCTTCCTTGTCTGAAATAAAGTGGTTTTAAAAGGCTGTGGAACAGCCTCTTTTTTTAAATACAAAGCATTTAGAACAGCTTATGCGAGCAAAGAAATACATTTTCAGATCTTGATTTTTTAAAGAGTTTATTTCCATTTTCTTGGTCACTGGCATTTCTGAGGGAAATTTCATGTGGAGCTGCAATCACCCAGGAAAATCCAAATAGCAGCAGATTTGGAAAGTGCACTCAAACAGTGTGTGGTAGACAGAGTATAGTGGACTCACATCTTTCTAACTGGAGGTGGGTTCTAAGTCAAGGGAGTAAGGCAAAACTTTAGTATGGTCAAAGTGACTTTTACAATCTCTTAAATTAGCTGTAAAGTTGTAGAATATGTGGTTTTGTTGTCTGTGGGTGCTAAGTCCCTTCAGTCATGTCTGATTCTGTGTGGCCTTATGGACTGTAGCCCATAAGGCTCTTCTGTCCATGGAATTATCCAGGCAAGAATACTGGAGTGGGTTGCCAGACCCAGGGATCGAACCCCCCATCTCTTAAGTCTCCTGCATTGGCATATACCACTAGCGCCACCTGGGAAGCCCTTTTTGTGTCAATAGCCCTGTACAATAATTCTTAAGCACATTAAAGTTTATTTGCTACTAAGGCAGTGTCTTTAAACCTTAGTGTACACTGGAAATACATAAAGAGCTTCTGAAAATACTGACCATAGGCCCAACCTCAGAGTTACTCATTCAGTCTACCTCAGGAGGGGCTTGAGATTTGTATTTCTAACAGGTTTCCAGGTGATGCTGCTGGTCCAGGATCTAAACTTCACAAATTATACTAAGCAAAAACTAAATAAAAATCCATATATACTCAAATAATTCTATTAACAAGATCAATATCAAATTTATGACAATGAATGGAGGATGAATGTAGAATTCTAAAGAGTACTCTCTTCTGTTTTAGCATTCTTTCTGTATAGTCTATATATGAGTTAAAAGGTTTTATTTGTAGTTTTGGGAATTAAATACAAATAAAATACTAAGTACACTTTCATATACATAGACATATGTTTGTTTAAAATCTTAATTTTGTCTGGCACATGGATAAGTGCTCAATAACTATTTGTTTGATTTGAATCTAAATTCTATATGATCAAAGTCACATATACACTACATCTTTGAAACACTGTAGAACAGAACATGACCACATGTTTTTTATATTTTCAATTTGTCATTTCCTACTATGGTGCTCTTGGGTATTTGTCCCCTGGTAGGGTGAGGATGAGGATAGTTTTCTGAAAATCTGAAAGTAATTAGCAGTCCATATAGTGGAATCCCATATTTCCAGTAATTTTCTCACATTATAGATACTTGTTTTAAGAAGAGTCAAAGTGGTAAACTGACCTGCTTGTAGTGGTGGGATCTTTACAATATTGTAGGCAATTGAAAAATTTTTCCCAAAGCAATTACCAATGTTGTAAACAGTCCCGTCATTTTCAATGTGGGGGTGAGCAGTGGCTCCATTGACTGAGACATAGTTGCAAAGGTCAACCTATGGAAGGAAAAGTGATGTCACCCATATTAAGAGAAAGACTGTATTCCATCTTTGGTCCCTCAGTCTGACCTCACCTCTACCATCACCTTCACCCTAAGTGCACCTTCACCCTAAGTGCACTTTCTCTTTCTTTCCATCTCGCTGGGTCCTACTTTCTTTCAAACCTGTGGAAGTTCTAGCTTTAGTGCAGAGCTCTTCTCTGACCCCCACACTGACCCTTCATGCCTTTGAAATCTTTAAGTTCTCTCTGATTGTGCTCTTTTGTTGATGTAGACCATGAATTGCTCTGGTTGGTTATTTTCCTTTTGTATATACAAGCTGTCCTCAAACAGTGATGAATTTTGATCCTGAAACTTCTTTACATTTTCCTTATTGAATTACATTGAACTGCATGCTGATAGCTATTCATTTTCATTTTATAAAAATACAAATTTTGTATGATATAACCTAAATACCAAATCCAGTGTCTTACATGTAGATGAATTTGGAACTGAAAGAAAACTCAGAATTCTAGTATAGAAAGTCTTAACCTAAACAGACTTCAGGGGAATCATGAATTCCTGGAATTAATGGAAACTTCTGAAAACAGGATTCAGTACTTCAATTGAATTTGATTCTCATAAAAAATTAAAAGCCATAAATCTATCACAAACCTCTCAGGTTACATAAGGAGAACTTGAGGAGTCAGAGAGGTCAAGTGACTTGTCAAAAGATGCAGAGCACTAGAATTTCTGCTTGGGACCTGCTCAGTAGAGATTTATTGAATAAATAATCCATGATTATACATTTGTCTAACCAAAGTTCTTTCTATTTGATTAAGAGAATATGTTTTAAAGCTTAGGGAGTTTTTAGTATTCTCATTTAAATATTAGGCAAGACATTCATTCATTCAGTCATTTGTTAAGTACTCACTGGGCTTCTATTATATGCCAGATGCTTTGTCAGTGTTTAGGAAAACAGAGATGGTCCTTGCTTTCAAAAATTTCAGTATTGATTTGCAGTATCCAATACTGTAGCCACATGTAGCAATTTAAATGTAAGTTAATCATAATTAGATAGAACTTCGAATTCAGTTCCTCAGTCACATTAGCCACATCTATGTGCTCAATACTTGGACAATACAGATATAGAAATGTAGAAAGTTCCATTGACAGCACTGTACTAGACAATTGATTGGCTCAAGACTGAGAAAGGAGTACAGAAGGACTGTCTGCTGTCACCCTATATGCTGAGCATATCATGAGAAATCCCAGGCTGATAAGTTACAAGCTGGAATTAAGATAGGTGGGAGAAACATCAACAACCTCAGATATGTGGATGATACCACTATAGTGGTGGAAAGCAAAGAGGGACTAAAAAGCCTGTTGATGAGGGTGAAGGAGGAGAGTGAAAGAGCCAATTAAGGCTAAATATTAAAAAAACTAAGATCATGGCATCTGGCCCCATTACTGCATGGCAAATAGAAGGGGAAAATGTGGAAGTGGTGAATGGTTTCCTCTTCTTTGGCTCCAAAATCACTGCAAACCATGACTACAGCCATGAAATCAGAAGACAATTGCTTCATGGCAGGAAAGCGATGACAGACCTAGACTTTTTCTGTTGAAAAGCAGAAATGTGATTCTGCTGACAAATGTCCGTATAGTCAAGGCTATGGTCTTCCAGTGGTCACATACGGTTGTGAGAGCTGGACCATAACGAAGGCAGAATGCCAAAGAATTGATGCCGTCAAACTCTGGTGCTGGAGAAGACTCCTGAAAGTCCCCTGGACATCAAGGAGATCAAACCAGTCAATCTTAAGGGAGATCAACCCTGAATACTCTCTGGAAGGACTGATGCTGAAGCTGAAGCTCCAGTATTTTGCTTATCTGACATGAACAGATGATTCATTGGACAAGTCCCTGATGCTGGGAAAGATTGAGGGCAGAAGAAGGGAGTGTCAGAGGATGAGATGGCTGGACAGCATCACTGATGCAGTGAATATGAACTTGTGCAAACTTCAGGAGATGGTGATGACAGGGAGGCCAAGCATGCTGCAGTCCATGGGGTCGTAAAGAGTCAGACACGACTGGGTGACTGAACAACAACACTAGAACAATAAGCTGGAATAAGTGTAGTAAGTGCAAAACCATATCTGTAAAGAAAAGCCATTTAACCCAAACTGGGAGATTAGGCAGGGCTTTCCAAGGGCGATGACTCCAACTCATGTTGAAAGATGAGTAAAAGTCAGTCAGATGCAGAAGGATAACAGTGTGTTCTAGGAAGCAGGAACCTTACTGTAAAGGCAGTTGTAAATAGAGTTGTAAATAGTGAATGCTGCTTGGGGAATTCTAGTCATTCAGTACGGCTGTGGTGAAGAGCACACAGGGAGAAGGAGAAATAAAGATGGGCCAGCCACAAAGGTCTGTGTTTTAACTTTATCTTGGAAACTGTGGGTGCACTAGATGGAATAGCACATTTATACTTGCATTTTAGAAAAAAATTGCTTCAACTGAATTAAGGAAGCTGTATTTAAGGGAATCAGTCTGGAGGCAAAGGTATTTGTTAGCAGGCTGTTTCAGTCATGGTAAACAAATAAACAAACAAAAAACCCTCAAATTTTTAAAACTACATTTTTATATGAATTTAGGGTATAGTGCTGCTCACAATGAAACCTGACTCCTAATAAAGTCTATTTTGGAGCCATACCATGAACTTCACACTTTCAGTTAAATTACCATGGCAATCTGAAGCACTGTCAAAGTCAAACGAGTAGTTTAGAAACTTAGTTTCAGAACTTCTCTAAACGATCTACACACACACTCATATGTGGTTACAAACAGACATCCAAACCAAGAAAAAGCTGTTGAGAATATGTCAAACCTTAGTAAACAGTCTGTGGGATTATAAATCGGCCTGTAGTATTGATACCCAGTGTTGCGACGACTTTCCTTTCTATTCCTATTACACTAAGTTTCTCCTTCTGGTCTTCAGTTTCAGTAACTGGTCTCCTAGTTCTTTTGCCCTCCCATACAGCTTACACATAGTTTCCAGATAAAATAACCTAAAGCTTTGCTTATACCACTTCTCTGAACAAAAACTTTCAGTAGTTTACCATCAACCAAACAACTTATTCCAAATTTCTGTCCATTATTCAAACTTCTAGTTTCACTCTACCCTTGACATGGCATGCTCTGATCACTAGTTTGCACCTAGGAGTGCTATTGTCCCCTAGCAGGGAAGTTGGAAATGTTGGGGAGCATTTGGGGTTTGTGCAATGATTGAGGACATATCTGGTATTTAGTGGGTGAGACCAGGGATGTCAAACCTCTGCAATAGGTGAGACAGTCCCCATAGTGATGAAGTGCTACCTGGCCAATGTCAATGCCACCTCCAAGGAGAAATACTGTAATTCTAGCCAAAAAAATTTATTCTTTATCCTCCAGTTTGCCACCTCTATTCATTTGGTCATGGTACTTCCTGTATCTGAAATGTTCTTTCCCCAAATTCAATGAAGTTTTGCCTTCCCTCTAATTTCAAACTCAAATGCAATACTTTAAAATTTTCCTTGTTCTGCTCTACTTCACACTCCTCAACACTGCTAGAAGTAATCTTTATATGCACTTCCATAGAAGGTTTCCTTCTCTGAAAGGACTTACTATATTCTGTGTTCTATTATAGTTAAGTAATATATTTAATTGATTTCTCCACCTATATGTTAAGTGCTCTGAAGGCAAGAATGATGCCTTGAAAACAGCTGCAACTTAATAAACATTGGTTGGAAATGTAGATCTGTCTTACTGAATGCTGCACTGAGACTGCCTCATATCTCAGCAAAATTTATCACTTTCTAATATTTCTCATGTGTCTCTTTATGCTTTTTCATTTAAGGTATGGCTTTATTTCAAACAAGAAGTTCTATAAGAAGGGGTAAAATTGGTGCAACACACTTTCTTAGAACCATGAACTTAATCTTTTCAATATTAAATGTGCCAGTTCCATGCTAGCCTATAAAAACCACGAAGAGCAGGGACTATGTTGTCTTACTCATTGGTGTATCTTTTGCATCTAGCATACATTCTGGTACATGGAAGGGACTTAATACTTGTGTCACAAATAAATATGTTAGGCATTTTATATAGTTTTCCTCTAATTCACACAATAAGTGTTTAAAATTTCACAGATGAGAAGAAAAGTCTGCCTTATGTCACATAGCTAGTAGTTGATGACAAAGCAGTGATTTGAAACTTAATGTATCTGGCTCTCGTATTCTTCCAAACAAAATGTTCAGTGGACTTAATTCTAAGGTGCAAATTCTAAAGTCCTAAGCAATATCTTCTGAGTACTGTGTCCTACCTGCTTAATTGTTTCCAAGGTCTCAGGATTAATCTTTGTAATGAAGTTGGTCTCTGTGCAGGCATAGTAATCTTCCCCCACTGGGTATATATTAACAAGGGCATTGTCAGTAACCTCCACTCCTCGAAAATAAGAAAAAAACCTGTAGAAGCAAATGGATTTTTTAGTCCAGTAACTTTCAAGCCATGAGAGAAAAAGGGCTAATGTAAAATGTCTTTAATAACATGCAGTTGGGTTTTAGAAACCTGGAAAATATATTCTTGCAGGGATCTGGGAAAGCACAGGTGCCAAATTCTGTTATGACGATCCTTTTCTCAGTCATTGCCCGTACGTAAGCATCAGTGCGGATGAACCTGAAGGACATTGAGACATGGGAAAGGTTACAGAGAAGGGGCATTAGTGTGGTCCCTGGGGAGCACAGAAGGTCATTCCATGTGCTGTTACCAAGAAAATCATAAATTCACAACATGAAGAATGAAGAGTCAGGTCACTTTCATGGGGTGACTGAAGGAGAAAGAGACAATGTGCCATGAGGTTCAATTATAAACTTCACAGTGACAGAAAATCAAGGCTCAGAGAAGTTAATGATCGGCATATATGGCCTGAGCCAGAAAATATGACTTTTCCGTATCCCACCATGCAGCCCTATGGATAGTTCAGACTGGGCCTCTGACTTCCTGTAGCCTATGACTCATCATCCCACACTGAGTGGGGAGGTATAGAACATGGTGTGCTGAATTAGATTTCCTTCAATCTTCCTCATATTCCTCGAGTTTTTTTTTTAATTTAAAATTTTATTTTGCTACTTTTAAAAGTAGATATTCTTGAATCCAGTCTCTTACACAGGCAGACCTCCTTAACCATATCCCAGACTAGACAGCATACGTTGCCTAGGGTTTCTCATGTGGAGAGCCAATTAAAATTTGATTTTGTACTTTTGTGAAGAGGAAAAAGTACCAAGGTCTTTAGAAGGCATATAAAGGCTTTCTCTGACCTCCAAAATAAGCTTTCACAGCTAAATTTTTGCTTGACCTGATCTGTTTCTTTTCTAAAACAGTCCAAGTTATCCCAACTACTTCAAGACTCCATTTATTCTTGCTTTTGATGTCTCTTCAGAATGCCTGAAATCTGTGGTGATCAACAAAGCCACTAATAGGCCTGAATATTAAAGCATAAAACAAAGTATTTATTGTGGTGCTAATGAGTCTTTGTAATGAAGCTGGAATGATGGCTTAGGGCCTCAAACCTTTTAGCAACCATCTCCTGTTTTTAGAAAACTTATTCCTGGTATTATTATGACATATTTGGTCCTTGCCTGCTTTGTGACACCCCCTCCCTCCTTTCCATTGGCCTTTCTGATTATTAAAAAGGAAAGAAATCAAGCAATCCATGGTCTAATAATAATAAAATGACTATTATTATTATTAAATGCTTCTGATGGACTAAGCACTGTGTTCTCATTTTATCCTTGTAATAAACTCTGAAGTAAATTCTTTTACTTCTCCCATTTTTTAGATGACAAACAAAGAAGTAGAAGTTAACAACTTGCCAAAGGGCACCGACCTAGGCAAATGGTATCTAGGACATACAGGATTTGAGGCCAGGCAAGTCAGACCCCAAAGCCCTAGTTCTTTGCTGTTTCTTTATCCTGTCCTATAGCTCCCAGGTGTCCATGCAGACTCATGGCCCAGGAGGATTCTGAGTGGAGGTGAGTATAAGGTCTCCTCTTGGGTTCAGGAAGTTAAAAAGCACATGCAAGGAGGAGCTGAGCTAGGCCCCAACCCTAGGAAGGGGAGTGGAACCTAGTCTTCTTTACCTTCTGTGGTATGTGACATGTCCTTCTTTAAAGTCAAACTTGTGCAGGAGGGCTTGCCCATCAAACAGGTGATAAAATGGTTCAGATCCTACTTCAAAGAGTCCTGGCCCACATCGAAGAAGACTGCCGGTCAGCCAGAGGGGGATCCTGCCTGTGAGGAAAGCGAGACACAGAATCTTGTTTTTTATACCTGCTCTTCTCATCCTTGGTAAGGAGCAGTAATTATATAAGCCATCTGGATGGGCAGCCTTTTACTTCTGAAGCTGGCAGTGATTTCCATTTCCAGCTCTAACGTGGGGTAGCTCTCGGGAAACGTCTGCTGGCTGACTCTCCTTTTTCTAGGGGACCAAGAGGGGGGAAATGTGGCAGCATCTCTGAGCTTAAACAAAAGGTTGGAAGGAGACAGGGAAGAACACTTGGAGTGGAATGGGATTCTCCATCTAACAGATTTTCCCAGCTACCAATACATTTGCCTTTTTACCATCTTACTTTTAAGAAAAAAAAAATCAAATTTCATGATACAAGAGGGATGGATTAGAAGTAGAGATCGAGATACTAAAAAAAGATGTGTCGATAGAACAAACCATTTCAGTGAAACAACAGGATACTGGATTTTTAAAATACAGAGATAAATTCCTTTGAGAATATGGGCTACTGTCCAGATAAAGGTCACCTTGCTGTAGCAGAAAGTACACAGGCCTGTCAGAGACCTGAATTCTGGTTCAGGATTTGCTGTGTGCTATCTCTGGGCCTTAGTGTCCTTCTCTGCAAAATGAGGGACACACAATAAAGGTTTTAAGGCCATTAAGTCAGGTTGTGCCCTTTGGCCCTTTGAAAGTACAGCATATGGCAGTATTTGTTTAATCCTTATCAACTCTCCAACCCGAAATGTATTATTTCATACAGTTCAGTTTCAGCAGTCCACTTTATAAAGATTTATATTTCTGATAAAAATTTGAAAAGACATGGCTCACCTAAAAGACACAGCATTAATTTGATTGCTAGCATCTAGACTGTTAACATCAGAATCTAGTTGAGAAAGAGTATTGGGTTCATCTCTTCTATTTTCCAGAAGAGGCAATTGGGAGGAAAGAGACAGTTTAAAGATAAGCAAAGGTATAGTCCCAGTAATTAAGGAATTCTAGCTAGGTAGCATTCTTTAAACATATATTTTAGAAAAATAAAGAAAAGAGGAAATTGGTTCTTGGTATAAAAAGCCCAAATCTCCAGATTCCTCTCTTTGTAGCCCACAGGGGAGCCGGTGTTGAGAGATGCCAATGAATAAGGAGACAGCAAAGATAGATCTCAACAAAAAAGAGAAGATAGCTTCAAGAAAGCTGAGACCAACCTGTAACATGGGCTGTGAGCGGTGAGGATAGCTCCTCCACAGTTTCAAACAGTTTCTTGTAACCACCAGCTGGATGTTCAACTCTGAAATGGTGGAATAATGAGGAAGAAGTTCATGTGGAATCTCAGAGAGCCCATGGAGACAGAGGCAGAGCTCCAGGAGAAAAGATGTCCTCTACTCAATGCTGGTGTGTACTGCCAGTCTAGCTGGAGCTGGGAGTACAGTGTTTTGGGAGGCGATATGGTGGTGGTGGTAGAAACTGGGGAAGGGTGGCAGAAATGTATTACGTTGGCAAGGGGGCCCAGGTTGGTGTTTCTCCTTTGATGACAAGGAAAATTACCTCCCTTTTAATATTACAGTGGACTTGCCTTCTGCAGTTTTCCCATATTTCTGAGGACAAGTCAACAAATCCCATTATTATTGTCACTTCTCTTCCTGACCAAGTCTTTCCCACAGAATTATCCTACTGTGTCAGTACCCTCAGCTTACTGGATCATTCATTCTCTTGACTCCCAGACAGTCTCATCCCTCTCCCTCTTATGAACTGGGAGACAACAGGTTTTGGGGTTAATATCTCACCCTTTGCTATTCATGCATATTCTACCATCATCTCTTCCCACTGTCTTATTTCGTCACCAATCTCTAAGAGCTTCAGTACATTTTAAAAGTAGTCAGACAAGAATATTTAGGTCATATATACATATATATGTATATATTTTTCCCATTTATTTTTATTAGTTGGAGGCTAATCACTTTACATCATTACAGTAGTTTTTGTCATACATTGAAATGAATTAGCCATGGATTTACATATATTTTTTAATGTTCTTCCTTCTCACTTTGGCTCATTATATAACTTCTTAGAGTGACAGCTCTGACAAGACTGCCTAATTATGACAGTTATCTTTTATTAAGTATTTACTATGTGCCACATACCATCAAAAGGAATTTATATGCTCTTCATTCATTTAAATCTCACAGCTCCACAATGAGGTAAGTACTGCTTATCCTATATATGGAAAAGTCGAGACTTTAAAAAATAACTTGCCTAAGATAACACAGTTAGGAAATGACTGGACAAGAAGTGGAACCCAGGTCTGGCTCATTGAATCTTCATGCTCACTACTGCTTCCAAGGCCCATTCCAAGCCATAAAATCCCACTGTAATTTAGACCTGACTTCTAGATATTTGCTTCAATATGTATATAGGAAGAAACAAACTCTCCTACCAAGACCCAAGGCTTTCCCTAAATTGATCATCAGTTGTCTTCAGAAGCTCTTGAAATAGCACATTTACCATCAACACACTAAAGCATTAATAAAAAATCTCCCAGAGATACTTACTGGATGGACATTTTCTCTCAGCAGAGGATTGAGGGTTCTGGCACCAACTGTGGAGTGAGGAAGCAAGTCCTCAGCCATAGGCCTTTATATGCCTTCTAAATCCCCCTGAAAGGAGAGATGGCTTTGGGAATCCATTCCCACCCCCTCAGCTGAGAGAGGGAAAACAGAAGTGGCTTTCAGCACTCAGATACTCCTGATACTTCAGCATTAATTTGGGCTGGCTGCTCGCTTAATTGTATTTTGGCCATCTTCCAGAGACCTCAATCCTTCCCAAAGAGAATAAGAAGTGGATTAGAAAGAAAGGAGTTGTGTGGGAGTGGCTAGCATCAGGCCTGAGCTGATCCGTGTCACCCCACAGGAACCTGGCATCCTTCTCTGGTGCCCACCTCCCTCTTCTTCTATGCCCTCATCTTTACCCTCATTCACTATTCTTTCACTTACTTATTTTTGAAAATATCTGTTACTCATTGTCTATGGAGCAGGCATGGATATCTTCACAGATCTTGTAACTCGGCAAGAATGACAAGAAACTAACAAGCTAGTCTATAAAATTTTATCAGTGCTATGATTGGAGAAGTATGGAGTATTATAGAAGCACACTGCACTACCTCTCACCCTCTCTGGTCACCTTTTTGACCCCTTTCAGGGCCCATTTCTGACCAGGCTGAGAACTTCAGCTGTGTTCTTTTGATCTGCTGCAGATGAACCCCTTTTGATACCGTTGCTTGTCACTAAAGCTTGCCTGAACTCCACATCACCTTTCTGTTCCTTGGTACATGTGCTGCACTCAGAAAGTAAATAGCAATATTCCATTCATATTTCCACACTCTTTTATTAAGCCTCAGTAGTTTGTCAGCACAAATGTGGTACTGTCCAAAGGGGTCCCCAGGAACATACAAGATATATGCTATACCAGCTGATAACTTTAACATTTTTAAGAAACTCATTAACCTGTAAACCTGTTAAACTCATTAAACTTTTTAACTCATTTAAATATTAATAAGTGGTTAGGCTTCTCATCCTTAAGATCTTCAACAGACCTATAAAGCGATTAATTTGAGCACTCTCAAAGATAGATGACAAAACCTTACTTTCCCAGCATGTTTTGCAGTGAAGATTCAGGCATGTGTCCTGGACTCCATCAATGAGAGGCAAGGGAAGAGGTCTTAGTGGTAGCACCCAGTGCCCAAGATCAGGCATATCTCTATTCATCCAAGGCAGTCATGGTGTGGAACCATTCTACAGTGGGGCCTGGAGCATTGTCACTGGACTTGTAGTCTCCAAGTCTCATTTTTTAGCTATCCTGGAGATTCTATTAGCTATCTAGTATGTAAAATTTGTGTGTGTGGCTTTGATTAACTAAAGGTAGTTTTACTATTTATAACTAAGAGCTCTGTATCTAGAAAATGATGGTAATATAGGATACTGTAGTATCACATAGAATGAACATCTGTATTGATGTATGGAGGATATTTGAGAACATATCTAAGATGAGATAGGAAGAATATATAAATATTAGCCAGTCAAAGCACAGGGAGAAGAGAGTTTAGGCACAGTTTGGAGGAATTTACAAAAGTCTGGAAGTGAGCAAGATTTGGGAAAATGGCAAGAGATGAAGTTAGACTAGAGATAATCATAGGTTGGATGGCATCACCGACACAACGGACATGGGTTTGGGTGGACTCCGGGAGTTGGTAATGGACAGGGAGGCCTGGCATGCTGTCGTTCATGGGGTCACAAAGAGTTGGACATGACTGAGTGACTGAACTGAACTGAACTGAATCATAGGCCAGATTTTGGGGAGCTGTGTGAACTATGAAAAGAAATTGATACCCATATCATGAGAACAGAGGGAATCACTGAAATATTATGCCCAGGAGAGTGATCTGATCTGATCTGCCTTTTATTAAGACCACTCTGATTACACTGTGGACAATATGTTGGAATGGGAGACTTGGGCAAGATAAACTAGAAAGTGAACAAATAAGTGAAGGTAGTTGATGAAGGGGAATGTTTTGGGTAGGAGGGAAATAATAATGGTCAGATTCAAGAACTATTTCAGAGGAAGACTGATAAAACTCTGTGCTTGGTGAACGTATGGAGAAATAAAAGGCAGAACAAGGTTTGCCTGAAGGTTTCTGACTTGAAATATGGTACAGTTCAATGAGATAATGCATCAGTTCAGTTCAGTCGCTCAGTCATGTCCAACTCTTTGTGACCCCATGAACTGCAGCACACCAGGCCTCCCTGTCCATCACCAACTCCCGGCGTCCACCCAAACCCATGTCCATCGAGTTGGTGATGCCCTCCAACCATCTCATTCTCTGTCATCCCCTTCTCCTCCTGCCCTCAATCTTTCCAGCATCAGGGTCTTTTCAAATGAGTCAGCTCTTCGCATCAGGTGGCCAAAGTATTGGAGTTTCAGCTTCAACATCAGTCCTTCCAATGAATACACAGGACTGATTTCCTTTAGGATGGACTGGTTGGAGTTCCTTGCAGTCCAAGGGACTCTCAAGAGTCTTCTCCAACAAGCATCAATTCTTTGACACTCAGCTTTTTTTATAATCTAACTCTCACATCCATACATGACCACTGGAAAAACCATAGCCTTGACTAGACGGACTTTGTTGGCAAAGTAATGTCTCTGTTTTCTAACATGCTGTCTTGCTCATAACTTTCCCTCCAACGAGTAAGCGTCTTTTAATTTCATGGCTGCAATCACCATCTGATTTTGGAGTGATTTTGGAGCCCAGAAAAATAAAGTCAGCCACTGTTTCCCCATCTATTTGCATACTCTGTGTGATATTTTAGTGATGCAGAAAGAGAAAAGCCTGATTTAGATATATTTATTAAAAGAAAGACATCATTGGGAGTTGTGATAGTTTGAAAGCTTTATAGGGAAGTGAGGTGAGTTGGAATCTGAAGGACAGCCTAGGTATGGAGAAGGCAGAGAAGATGGAGAGGTCACTTCTGGTGAAGGGAGAGTGAAGGCAGTAGGAGAGGCACATGTTAGGAGGATTTTCTGACTTTGACACCATTTCGGCTGGATTTCATTTTCTCAGAAGGAATCTCATTTCCTTGAGTAGAGCCATGTGCCGTATTGTGATACCTGTACACTGGCAGTCCACTGAAGAGAAATCTCAGGAATACCAGGACCCAGATACTCTTCTTCATGTTCACCTCTCATTACAAGGAGCCAAAAAAGAAGGCTTTGTAGCAGCCAGGTGCCAGAAAACCACACTACACTGTACTACTACACATTGGCTGAGTGACGGGGCATTAACAAACTGTATTTTATATTGAATATCACTTCCAGGGAAAACCAATCCTACTGGTAACCACAACTGCACCAAACACCTTTCTTAGGTATTCCTGTGATGCTGCGGGTGTAGTCATGTTATTTAAAAACAAGAACTGATTCTAGTGATTTTTGTATTTGGCTTTTAATCTTTGGTAGCCTTTATTTTTCAGCCTGTTTTAATATGAGAAGCCAGCGAGCTGCTTGAGGACTAATTGTTTGAAAAATACAAATAATGGCAATTCCAGGAAGGCTTACAGACTCACGGATTGTATGAAATGTCGTTACCATGTGTGATTAAAGTCACAATGAAAACTAATTACTATGTACTGAACCTCACTGGGTTCGAAGTTCTTTAGGTAAAAAGCAAGAAAAATAGGTATAAGCATTTTTTTAGCTATGTACTCTGTATAAACATTGAGCAATACCAAAACTGATTCTCAGGGAGTTTGATTTCATGTCTAACTGTTCAGCTAATACCTTCTACTAGGTAACTTATTTCCTCTGTCCTGTCTCTGTGAAGTTAGAGAACAGCTGGGTTATATCCTTTCCAAAGTCCCAAATGTAGACCTCTCTTCCAGGTCTGAAAGCGTTAGTAGCTCAGTTGTATCTGATTCTTTGCAGCTCCATGGACTGTAGGCCCCCAGGCTCCTTTGTCCATGGAATTCTCCAGGCAAGAATACTGGGAAAAAAAAAAAAAAAGAATACTGGAGAGGGTTGCCCTTTCCTTCTCCAGGGGATCTTCTGGGCAGAGGCTTTATGTTTGAGCTGCCAGAGAAGCCCCCTTCTAGGTCTAATTGTATCCTTCTGTCATTTCAGCATGATACACTGGACCTCCAACGGAGTGTTACTTTTTCTCTCATCCTCTCCTCTTATTCTCTCCCTTTATTTTTTTAGTTATTTGGTAAAATCAAATCTTTGTTTGATTTCTGTGTTTTCCAAAGAAACTGTTTCATTGTGATAAATTTTGGTGGTGGTGTTGTCATTCAGTCACTAAGTTGTGTTCTACTCTTTGTGACCCCGTGGACTGCAGCACCCCAGGCTCCTCTGTCCTCCCCTTTCTCCCAAAGTTTGCTCAAATTTGTGTCCATTGAGTCAGTCCCGCTATTTAACCATTTCATCCTCTGCTGCCCCCTTCTCCTTTTGTCTTCAATCTTTTTCAGCATCAGGGTCTTTTCCAACGAGTTAACTTTTCAGACCAGGTGGCCAAAGTATTGAAACTTCACCATCAGTCCTTCCAATGAATATTCACGGTTGATTTTCTTTAAGATTAACTGGTTTGATCTCCTTGCAGTCCTAGGAGTGAAGGACAGGGAAGTCTGGTGTGTGGCAGTGCATGGGGTTGCAGAGTCGGACATGACTTGGCAACTAAACAACAAAGTTGGATTTCTAAGGTTTTGCTTGAGCATTTAAATGAATATTACACTCTTCCTTAAGACTAAAGGAGGAATAGTTGAGTAGGAATGGATATATCAAGAGTTCACCATGAAATCTGAGATGCTATAAGATCTCCATCTTCTCCATAGGGGTTAGTTGTTTATCCTTCCCTCCTGTAACACCTCCTTACTCTGAAGGAACTTGTTCAGTAGAAACAGAATTTCAACCAAAGCAGTCATATTCCAAGGTCTATGTTCTTATAAATACTACTTTCATCCACAAATGGAAGTTCTGGTAAATGTTATTTTCTTGATTTCATTACATGCCCAACGATATTTTAGTGCTCCATGTAGATAGATGGGCCTGGAAGCTTCTCAGCTAACTTGCCTTCAACCATTCCCTAACCATACTGTCAGAGTCATTCCTCTTAAAGGAAAATCAGATCATGTCCCTTCT